TTCGGGAGGTGATCCATGCCCTCGTTCGTGGAGGCCGCTATCCCTCAACCGAATGGAGGTCAATTCCTGTAGACCCAGGTGCTCGTTCTACGAGTCTCATTGCATGTCCTCAGTGCTTCCATCCACACCCCTCCACCGTAGTGAGGCCGGACAAATCTTCAAACCAGGTCTAGGCCCTGGTCATGGTGGCTGCCTCTTGCATGCACAGGGCATACTTCCTGTGGCTTGCCGGGAGGTGATCCATGCCCTCCGATTCTCAGAGGCCGCTATCCCTCTACCAGCGGGGTGGTCAATCCCCATAGACCGTTCCTTGATTGAGGCCCAATTTGCACTGTCTCGTCATCTCACCTTGACGGATCCATGCCCTCGATTCACACATCTCCAACACGAGCCAAGCAGGAGGACCAGGTGAAGTACCTGCCCAAACATACCCCTTTTTGGGCTGGAGGACGCTAAGCGACCGAAATCGCCGCTACGCACCGGTGACCCCACGCCACACACCTTCAACAGGTGGCCGGTACAGGCGCCTGACAGGGGGCCGGGCAAGGTGCCGACTACCAGGTCAAACCCACCCTCCTGTGAGGGTATTATGTACGAGGCCGCTATCCATTGTGAGACTTGACTTTCTCCAATCCAGCCGTAGCCATTCAGCTGGTTCTTTGGTTTGCCACCAAAACTCCATACTCTCACTTGGGAGTCGATTACCCTCAACCAAAGTGAGGCCCACTCTGCTACCACGGATTAGCTGCTTGCTTGGTCCTTGTGGGCATTTCTGAAAGCAGTGACATCGACGCCTCCACGGAATACGTCCCGGCTAATCCAGGGTTCTCAGCAGCTCCGGTGTTCTCGCACTTACTAACCGTGCCTTGCTGTTCTCCCCAGAATCGCCCTGGCTTTCTCGCGCTTACTCCCCAGTCGACGTATTCCTCACCACAAAGTTCACTGCCCATTGGGACTCGAGGCTTCTCCATTGCAATGCTGGTACCTGCCCTTTGCTGGCCACCATGCCTGGCCAGTGTCCCTCATCCATATTCTGGAGTTTGCTCTTTTATCCATAGCTCACATTCCCTCAGACCAAAGTCGAGGCCGAATGATTGCTTTGTTTGATTGAGCACTGCTGGGCTGCGGTTGTCTCCTATCAATTGCTCCGACACACCGGCACCGCGGAGTCTATGCTTCAAGCTGCTTGACCGCTTTGCGCCCAGTAGCATCAGCCGTCCAAGCTTCATGCAGTGCTTCCAGAGTCTCCAAGACTCAATTCCGGCAGACCAATAAGTGCCCGGCCTGCCCATTCTATCATTCTTCCCTCAGCTGATGCGAGGCCGGAACATCATGCACCTTCTTCATCAGCGAGGCGTTTTCGCAACCCTTCTGTTGTTCCCTCAGCCGTGGCGAGGCCGAACCATCCATTCCCTCAGCCGAGGCGAGGCCGAACCTTTACTCCAGCATAGCGAGGCCGAAACTGCCCTTGCATAGCCTCACATGGCATCTCCGCTGGATTCACGGGTTCTGAAAGCATTGTGCTGCGAGGGTATGTTGATCACCCTCATTCCGGCAAGCTAAGCCTGCATTCGGGTTTGCCCTCACATGGCCCTTAATGGCGAGGCTGTGCTCGCAATTCAATCCACTTCCACTTGCCTGGTTACTGGCCGGCGACGTTTCATCACCTCAAAGGAGCATCCATTCCTCATCATCTTCCGACAAGGCCAGCATCCTTCTCGACACATCAGGGCCATACACCATAATCACCAGCCTTCCCAGGTACCTGTTTACACGTCCGCTGCCATCAATCATCAGGGATGGGTTTGTGGGATCGACATAGAAATCGATGTTCCAAAGCCTCGCATCTTCACAGCATCGGAAATTCCGGAGCTGCAGATGGAGGTTAGCTGCATTCAGGCTTCTTTGGACATTCCAATTCCCACAGCTGCCCCAGGCTATGTTGCCTCTCCTGGTGCGACGGACAAAGTGGGTACGATATGACTGCGACAGTTCCAGGAAAAGCCTTCACGACGCCCCTGGTGTGACCATGCAAATACACAGCATGCAATTGCCGGCATGGTCCGTCGCTCTCCGTCTGCCTTGCAGCAAGTCTCTTTGGCGTGTGGCACACTGTCCAGGGCACTGTGGACGGCCACTCTGCTCGCCGATAGCCCACGGGCGGAAATCTGGGGTTGAGACGGGGCCCTGTTCCAACAAAGGAAGTTAAGGCCTCGGAACCCGATTCGCTCGCACAGGTCTGCTATCTTCTTGCACCTCAGTTCACGAGGTGTTTCCCTCAACCGTAGTGAGGCCGAACTATGTTGTCCCTCAGCCGAAGCGAGGCCGAAGAGTTTCCACAATCCTCAGCTCAGGCGAGGCCGACAACACCCTCAGCAGCGAGGTCGAAAGTTCCCTCAGCACTCGGCGAGGCCGTACACAGGCAGCTATGTGGCTGGCAGAACTACCGAGCAAACACAGTGGTTTCGGTTTGAGTCCTGTTGGAGCCCACCCTTAGGTACAGCCTCCAGGCCACCGAACAGCTCACTACCTGCGCACCCCACCGGGGTTGAGCCGAGACTTGAGCCAGGTGAATTTTACGTCTGCACGCTGCGTCGCATAGCCACCCGAAGGGGCCGTTGGTCAAAGTGAAACTAAACTAAAAATTACCTCGCTTGAGGTGTTGCGTTCTCAGCTAGGCCCTCTCTCAGCTGCAACCCTCAGCACTCGCGAGGCCGACTTTGCCCTCCGCATGCATTGCTGTTGAGGCACTTGTTGTGGCATCAGCCTCCGTAAGTTTGGCAATCCCCACTCAGCACTGGATGTTCTGTTCGAGGCATATTCCCTCAGCGCATGCGAGGCCGCAAAGTGAAACACGTGAGGTATGAAAGACTGCTACTCCAGGTTCGTCCGCAGCTCCGGCTTTCTCGCACTTACTAACCGTGCCTTGCAGCCTCCCCCAAAGTAGCGTCACCCTGGCTTTCTCGCTCTTACTCACCAGTTGACCAATAATGCATCTCACGCGGTTGCTTCATGGTAAAACTGCAGCTCGAGGTCCCGGCGTTCTCGCTCTTACTAACCCGGACCGACACTGCAGAGAAGCATGACTGTTGTTCCCTCAGCGGAGGCGAGGCCGAACAACCATTCCGCTGCATCTGCGCAGCCAGGCCCTCAGCTCCTCACTGAGCCAGGGCTATCTCTAGACAGAGTTCCCTTGCTGGCAAGCCCTCTATCTCTATGTGACCCCCGCGGTGCCACGTATAAGCAGCTGCTCCGCGTGTCTTAGGACCACAGTTTTCATTCGGATTTGTTGTTGTAGGCCTTCCAGTGCTTGAGGCCGAATCCAAACACCACATCACACGTCACACGGCTAGGCAATTTGGCTCCAACATCTGAAGATAGTGACACATACTCTGCGTGGCGTCCGCGTGAGCTAGCCTGTCCTAGAGTTTAGGAGTTCGGCTCCTTTCATCGCTTGTCTTACCACAGGTCTCTTTCGGTGGCCCGTACTCAGCAGCCAGCACATGTACCATCCTCAGACGCCAGAGCCGCCTTGCCCCAGCAAGTGCCCATAAAACCACTCACCAGACAGTGAGAGCCAACATCTTCAAACAACCTCCAGCGGCCGTGCCGCGAGGACCTAAACATCTGCAAGGTTCCGCCTTGTCTGTGTGCACGGACAGACCCCAGCCCTTGCAGGAGACGTGGATGTAAACAAAAGCAGGCCTGCCATGTCCAGCAGGCTGATTACCATTGGTTGCCTTCAGATGGGAAAAGCGCGAAGATCGGGTAACCTCCATCTGAATCCTTTCCGGCCAATACCAACCCTTACAAACCCTCAGCACGGAGCGAGGCCGAAGGAGGCTTTCTTGGACTATTGGTTTTCCGGGGAGCAGCCACCAACAGCTGCTCTTCAACTTGCACTGCGCCGCACCACAGTCCTACTGCAAGTTCTTTGGCAACGGTTTCTCAGTAGCACCAGTCAATGAGCTTTACGACACTGATGCCTTTGGTTTTTTGTGTCCAGGCAGATCCACCAGGGTTGGGCCAAATCTGTTCTACCTGATTCTACCTGCGAAGAATATCCAGTTGTGCTCAGCTTGCAGATCCCCGAAAACCAGCAAACTCGGGCTCAAGCACACCGCTATTGTTCGGGACACTCCTGTCAACAACTGCAAGGATGCCGCTTGCAGTGCGACGTTGGCCTGCACTGTCTGCAACGTGCCTTGGCCGTTTTCCCCCGTGTTTCGGTCTCACCTTCGTTCTCCACACAAACGAGCGAGGAACCCAAACTCACCCTAACACACAGCCCTCAATCCAAATGAGGGTCGGCGGGTTTTGTTCACCCAGAGACAGCAGGAATCTCTGGTGAGCAACAGGCTCTAGCGTCACCCCTCAAGCAAATCGAGGCTGCAACTCTCACTGTGACCCAGAGCAGACTGTAGGCCACAAGGTTCCCTCAGCAACGCGAGGACGAAAAGCTTCCCTCTAGCGAAGCGAGGCCGAAAACTGTGCACTCGAACGTCCTTCGTCGTCGGCAGCAGTTGGCGGGCCGCCGCTCTATGACAGCTTAGCCGGTCAGCCGGCCTACGAGCAAACACAGTTTTGCCAGGGCCTCAAAACGGAACCTACCCTTAGTTACAAGCCCCAGGGCCAGCCACAACGGCACTAAAGACGCTCTCTACCTGAGCACCCCACCGGGGTTGAGCCGAAACCTTGAGCCAGGTGAATTTTACGTCTGCACGCTGCTTGGCGTAGCCACCCGAAGGGGCTGGGGTATCAGGGTGAAACTTACAAACTCTGCACAGTGAGACTACCGGTACTAGCCCTCACTTCCCTCAGACATTTGTCGAGGCCGAAATCCATTCCCTCAGACCGTGGTCGAGGCCGAAATACCCTCAGGTCATGCCGAGGCCGAACTTCCCTCTCTTGCACCCCTCAGACCGAAGTCGAGGCCGAAACTCCTCAGGCAGCACGCCGAGGCGGTATTTTGATTCGGTTTGTTGGTGCCTCTCTGACCACTATCCATGTTTCTTGTCTGTTCTGCGCTGCTCACTCATCAGCTTCGTCATACGGCATGCCCAACGTGATTTTCTGGATCTCTGTTGCCGGAACCGAAAGTAGGGTTCCATCCCATCCTCGTTTTGCAATCCCGGCATCCAGCAGGTGCTGGGCAAATGGCCCGACATTGCCTACGCACGCCATCCAAAGCGCGCTGGCCTTGCCGTCGTACGTTCTGACCAATCCACGTATGGTTGCCAGTAACTCCTCATCATATTTCTCCAGGAGGCGTACGAGGCCGCATGATATCTTGTATCTCTCCTCCTGCAGCGTCGTCCACTCCGCCGTGTCAAAGAACACTGCCCGTGGTAGCGATCCTGACATTGGGTCGCGCCCAACGTTGCTCACCGTGATATCCGATAGAGCAACTCCTTGCATGGTCAGCCATGACGTTATAGCCACCAGGTAAAACAGGGACTGTCTGAGGACCCCGGCTTCATGGCGATGTTCCTGCCACCATGTGTTGAACAGCTCTGCCCTGCGGATGATACTTCCATAGAAGTAGTGGTGGCAGTAACCCTCCACTGCTTCGTCGAAAAGGACTCCAATCCATCCTGCCCACAGGGTCCTGGTGACCAGGGTGGGGAATTGTTCCCCATACCCTGCTTCGTTGCCAAAGCTCTGGGGTTCCATCGCTAGTTTCATGACCCATAGCCGATCCAGAGCATATCCTCGTCGAGTGCGCCCCGCACCTATAAAGGGAAGCACCCTAGGCTGTAAGCTTTGCCCTGTCGTTGGGTTGCGGACCAATTGGACCTCCCCAAGCCAATGGAGCGCTGTCCTTGGCCTTTGCTGGTTCTGCAGTTTATGCACCAAAGGTGCACAGGCTTGACTTGCCCCATGGCTTCCTTTTTCTCCTTTCCCTCAGCTTCCTGCGAGGCCATATTGTGGGCACCTGGCCCTTCCGCCAGCGTGACTGTACGAGGCTGGCTTGCCTCTTGCTCTTCATTGACACCCTCAGCTTGATGCGAGGCCGTACTGTCTTCTCCTCTCTCCCGTAGGCGTACCGGACCCACCGGAGATTCCGAAGCTCTCTCCTCTTCACTATCCCAAGGCTGCTCCGGGTGTCTGGCCTGTCGAAGCGGGGAACGTTCACGGGGCTGATCCTTCTGCTTGTTCTTGCTTTTGCCCTTGCCTTTGTCCGGCCGATTCCTTAACCAGGATGGCAGTCGGGACCCTTGTCTTCTCATCGTAGCATCCGTCTTCCATTGCCTCATTGCTACAGGCCCGCCTTGTGCAATTTAGAAGCCCACAGTTGCTTCCGCTCTTCACTGAGGTAGGTCTCCGCTTGGTAGACCCAATCGTTCCTTGTGCTGCAGCGAGCGAGACTGCGACACGCCGCTTTTAGGTGAGTGTAGTTTGCCCTCTTGGGGTCTGTTTCCAGGAACTGCTCCTCCAAAATTGGTTTCCACGAATCCTCCAATTTGATTCGCACCTGGAGGGTCAATTTCTCCGGCTGCTCGTCCGGCCGGTCTTTTGAGGATGAGGACGTCGTTGTTTCACCCTCAGCTCTGCGAGGCCGAGGCCTCCTCTCTTTACCCTCAGCGATGTCGCAAGCACGCGGCACCGCGAGGCCGAATTACACTCCCTCAGCAAAGCGAGGCCGTAAACACCAATCGCACTTCCCCGTTGCGAGGCCCTCACCCTCAGCTACGAGGCCGAAAACCCTGTCTCCTTGCACCAAACGGCTGCGGAATTACTGCGTTCCCTCAGCTTGGCGAGGCCTAACAAACAATGACATCTTCTGCTGTGCGCTGGCTTGGGGCTTAGCTTTGGCGTGTTTCCCACCAAACTGAACGCGAGGCTGTTGAAACTGGACGTTGCTCATACTTCCACCATTGACAAGGGTTTGCGCTTGGGTAGCCAGCTTGCCTTGAGAAGTCCGCGATTTGCACTCACCCGCCAGGCTTTTATTGCACTTCTGGCTGACCGGTGCATGTGTTCTGTCACACTTTGTGCAAACCCAACGGATTCCCAAATTCACCATATTATGGGAGGGGTGGATACCCCACTCTTCACGCACTCGCGCCTCCGGCTGGTTGACGCAGTACTGCTCCAAGACCACCTCCAAGTTCGTGAGGGTTTGTTGTACATACAACCCGCACAGTTGACATTTCAGTGTTAAATTCCGGGGGTGTTCGCTGCCCTTCTCCCATTGATGCCCGCGCTCCGGGTTTTTAAGCAACTGCCAAAGCCGCTGGCGTTTGTTGAGTTTGGCGCTGCCCTGCTCTTTTTTGCATCCCTCAGCTTTCTGCGAGGCTTCCATCTTCTCTTTGTAATGCGCATGGTCCAGGATGAAGGGGAAGTCTTCTTCTTTGCGCTTCCGCAATATGTGGGCTGCGCGTGCACCGTACGCCAGGGAAAGTGTGCGCACCACATTGTCCAACTCTTTGACACGCCTCTTGTGCGCTGGGCTGTAAGCAGCCGCCGCCACTGCTCCACATACTTTGTCTGCCATGTCATTCGCTGCACGTCGCCACAACGTACCCGGCCCCATCTTCGCCAGGAATTCCTCTTCAGTTTTGTGGGACGGGACCCATGTTGCCTTGATACGTTTCCTGTCATTCCACACTTTGCTCCATTCCAGGTCATCCTCCGGCGGTTGTGTTTTTTGTAGCACTTGGACTGCCGGCTTGCAATCCATAGTGACATCAATCAGATCCTCCGTGTGCTCCATTAGTCGGAAAAGTGCACGGCGCTCCATGTCCACCACCGGCTGCCACGGGTAGACCAGCTCTGTAATCCGTCCGACTTCCACCAGGACACCTTTTGTCCAGGACATAGCCACCACTGCGAGGGCTGATGTTTGTACACGTGGGTCTATTCCTCCTGGACCTCCACTTGCGTCAGTGGCGAAGATCAAGCCTTCCGCTTCCACTTTTGCATCAGCTGCGAAGCATCCTTGGTAGCGCAGACCTAAAAGGTGTTCCGGCGGCTTCGGGTGCCACACCGCCGGCTTTGGCAGGAGTGCCCTTGTCCACAGACACTCCCATGGGTATTTGTGACGCAAGTATTCCTGGAGCTTGGGTTCTTTGAACCCTTGTTCACGCCAGTAAGGACATTCCTTGAGGACATGCTCCAGAGTTGCTGGCATTTGGCACTTCTTGCACCATCCTGGCTTGGACTCCGTGATGACGCCCGCGTGCCACACTGACTTTATACCTTCCATAAGGCCTGGGCTTAGGCCTCCCAGCTTCGTCAGCTTGTGATGCGGCGTCCAATCCAGCCCCTCTTGGGCACCAGCGCCACCTGCCTGTCGCGCTATTGCAGCCCGTTTCTGTTCCTCCAGGAATCCCTCAAGCCATTTGTAGGCGAGGCTACCCATGCGTGGCTGGGTCCAATCAACGTTGAGGACACTTCCTCTCTTCCATTTGCCTGGGTCACTGGCATCCACCTTCAGATCCATTAAGTACGCCATGGTTGCTGCCATCGGTCCCGTGACCAGTGGCCAGTGGTGTTTGGCCGCACTCAACCTCTTCCAAGTGGTTTTCCAGGCCAAGTCAAAGTGGGCTTTTCCGCCACCAATCCATGCACGGAAAACTTTGGCCACCACCTTGAAATGCTGCTTGTGGATTGTGCGCTTTGGATCCTGGCATTTCTTGGCTCCCATGTCCAAGATGGTTTCCAAACTCCCAAGCTTGTATTTACCCAGTTGTTTTCCTACCACTGTTCGGAGCCATTTCATTCTTTTGGGTGATACCCCCACAGAGGGGTGCCCCCACAAAGCAACGGATGTGATCGCTGCCTTGACCACGCGGAGTTTAGTGCTGGGCGGCGGCCCCAGCCTGGACAGTTTGCTATGTCTCGCATGGGCTTTCTTGGCCCGCGTTGCCGACGTCACCAAGCGACGCTTTCGCCCCCCTGTACTGTCGACGCCCAAGTCACGCATCACGTCGTACACCTGTGGCTCATGAGGCAACAGGAGTTCTCGCAGGTGCTTGCTCGCCTGGGTACTGCTGGCCACAAACCCTGTCTTCTTGGATGAAATCGTGAAACCATTAGCGTCCATCCCGTCCTTTAAGCTGCGGTAGACTCGTATCGCACTATCCGCCACTTGTTTAAAGGACTTATGCTGGATGTCAATTGAGACATCATCCAACCAACAATCCACGTTTGCCACATCTCGTCGCCTTTGGATCTTATCTATCACCGGGTGCAATGCCACCTTTGCCAACGATGGCGCCGCTGGGCAACCCGCTTGCACGCCATTCGTAGCTCTGATGCCTGCCGACAGCACCCCATCCGCCACCAAATATCTGGCACCCATGTACACTTCCAGTGCCATCTTCAGGATTAGCGGTGGATATTGCAGGGCCGTTGCTGCCGTGATCAATTGCTGAAATTGGATGGTATCGAAAAAGGACTCGAGGTCCACAAAGAGTGACACCACATACACACCATTTGTCTTCGCCACCTCATTTCGCAGTAGTCTGCCTACGGCCACGTCCAAGCAGCAACTGCCTGGGACTGCCTTGTCGTACGTGGCAGTTGTGGCATAGCCTGCCTGCCAAGTACTTACCAAATCCCATCGCAAACGGACCCAGGTCCTGTACAGGATGTGTAGCAAGGCGATTGGTCTTTCCCGGGTCAGATTCTTCGGCAGCATTGCTATAAGGGAGACTGTCATTTGCTGCGGCCATGCTGCCTTGGCCTCACATTCATGGTAGAAGGACACAACGGCTTCAACTGCTTTGTCGTCCATGGCCTGCAAATGGTCAATCCTCCAGCCATCCGGCCCCGGGCTCTTTAGTGCCAGTTTTTTGATCCTTGCCTTGACCTCGACAGGGTTCAGCGGCTCCACGCTGGCCGCTTGTTTTTTGGCTGCATCCTCAAGCTCCGTCATGAGCGAGGCCGATTTTGCCAACGGCTGGCCCGTCGTCCACACTGCCGCCCAGTGGTCTCGGCGAATGTGTGGCCGTTCCAGCATGTCATACTCCATGTAGGGTCTTTGTACCACTTGTTCTTCTTTTCGCAAGGCATTGTATAATGGTCGCATGCCCTTTTCCATGGCCTTGCTGAGCCATTGCTTGTACTGGTGGGCTGTCTCCTCCATATCCGCCTTTCTCGCGTAGCATTGCTGTTCGTCGATGCGCTTCAGAACAAGTCTAGCGTCCGTACCCCGGCCCAGGATACTCACGAGCATATCCTCCTGGTTCTGCGCATCACCCTCGTAATACTCGCCGAGCCTGCGTTGGACCAGACGCGCCACCGGATGCGCATCGCCATGATGTCTGCCTTGTTTGACCCATTGTTGGACCCGGTTCCAAAAGGCCGCCCTCTTGCCTGTCCAGACAACGTTCTCCGGGTTGTTGACCACCAACTTCTTCCGGACAATCTCCGATTTAACACCCATACCGTCGATTCGGCCTGTGATCGACCTCTCCACACCGGCACTCAGGTGAGCGAATGTCTCACTGAGCTCATCTTCCATCTTGGGTTCATCCAAGATGTTGATGCTCTGTGTGTTTTGAACTGGTTCGTATTCCACAGTCTCCGTCACCAGTGCTCCCGCCTTCTTCATCTGGGGAACATCAGGGCTACTGCACGGTTGGGCTACCCTCCAATGCATCGCAGCATGAGGCCGAAAAGGGGTTTCCCAATCCGTTTTCACTTGCAGGATGGGCACCAAGCATTTCGCAACCAGCCCGTAATCGATTTCGTCCGATCCTTGGGCCGTTGGTTCCCCCACTCCAACAAATGCACCACCAACTTCTGTCGCCAGAGTTGTGCCCCTCATGGTATCCTGGGCTTCATTCCAATCACCCAACACCATATATGGCACTTTGCAGCCCTTGAGAAAGGCTATCAGTCTCGCCAGTACTTGGATATTGTTTGGAGCCTGGAATCCGACCCCGCTCTCCAAATACAGACTGACGATGATCAAATCCCAGCCTTTGTTTCTCATGGCACATGCCAGGAAGCCCGCCGGTCCTGACCCATACTCGGTAAGGTATCGCAGGTTCCTATGTCGGGGTGCCACCACTGCCAGGCCTCCTTGTACACCCTTAATTTTTGTACTGCCTGGCATGCCAATGAAGGTGTATCCCATATCTTGGCAATGGCTCATGGCTTGCTGGATACCCTCCGTCTTGAGATGGGTTTCCTGCAGCACCACCAGGTCCGGTCCTAGTTCGTGTATCCATGCCGCTATGGGTTTCCTCCAGCTGGTGATGTTAGCCGCTGTGATTTTGATGCATTCGGCCTTATCATCTTGGCGATACCCACTTGCCACATCTGCCAAGATCCATTTGGCATATTGTGCGTCCTGCTCCACAAAGGAACGAAGCACTTCGTGGCATGCTCGTTGTTGTAGCGGGTTGAGTTCCTGCTCTTCCAGCTTCTCAATGGCGTCGAGTGCGGCAGCCTCACTGGAAGCATCATATCTACCCACCACTTGGCATAGCGTTTGCCACTCCTGTGGCAGATCTTTTGGTGGTTCCGTGGGTTTTGCTTTCCGCTTCTTGGGCTTTTGTTTTCCTCTGCGACCCTCAGCACACGGCGAGGCCGAGAATCGTATTTCCTCAGCTTCCTGCGAGGCCTTCATGTTCGCCCCTCTAACCGCTGCATGGTCTCTCATCTGTGTTTGGCTTCCCTCAGCTTCTCGCGAGGCCGAATGCTCACATTCCTCTTCGATGTCTTCCCTTGTAATATGGAAGTATCTGGGCCCTGTGACCGCCCAACTGCTGTCCACAGCTCGGACAGGCTCCGGACCCCTCGTAACTGGACTCCAGCTCTCTTGGCTGTCTTCCACTGTGCTGTTTGTACTAGGCACCTGGGTACTAAACACAGCTTGACTGCCTTCCCCATGTGCCTGTGACCATACAATGTCCCCGTAACACTGCTTCCGGCCACCATCAAAAGAGATATCAGAGTCTCCCCATTGAGACTCCTCTACTTGTCTTGCCTTCAGATTTTGGCTGTTCGGACCAGGAGCTGCCCTGAGGTGTCGGCCCCTCCGCTCCTGTCCCAGCCTGAGGTTTCACTCGCCATGGGCACGCGCCGGCGAGCGTTCGCGCCCCGTCGGCGTTGCCCTGACTGACACATCTCGAGACATGCGCATCGGCCCATAGATGCCTAGTTCGGCTGGCATGCCCGGCTCTCTTTGTCCCAAGACTCCCGTCCAATCTGTCTCCACGACCTTGACCGCCATCCTCGTTTTGAGCGCCTCCGCTTGCTCCTCGGACAGGATGATCCCTTCCTTTTCCAGGTAGGACGCGACGTCCTTGTATGGCGAGTCCTCTTCATCTTTCACACAGGCTTGTACCTTCTTCTGTGCTTCCGCTACCTCCAGCTCCGTGGCCTGGATGGCCTGGCTGACTTGCGCAAGCTGCTTCATGGCCTGCTCGAACTCACTCTTGATCTTCTCCGTTTTGTCTTGAAGCCGGACCTTCTTCTCAATGAGTGATCTCAGCTTGTTTGTCGTCCTTCTGTATGTACCAACATGGCGGCTGAGCTCCTGCTTTGGCGTCTCGTCCTCAGGCTTGTAGTCCCCTGGCGGGGGAATACCCGCTGCTCTGAGCAGCCTTTGCACTGCGGGCTCAGCTCCCTGCCACACCGTTTCAATGGCCTCGTGGTACTCATGCTTTCGGTTTGCGATCCACTGCCTGGTAGTCCCGGGGGCCAAATGGGCCCCGGCTCCATCGTCCGCGGCTTCCATCCTGCTTCTTCGATGGCCTTCTTTGCCTCCATAGAAAGCGTACCCCACGCCTTCGTGAGGGCTTGGTCGGCCATCCCTTCTTTGTTCTTGGCCTGTCTTGTCCACCATGTAGCGTCGTCCTTTGGCCATTGCCACTTCTTACGCTGGCTTGACCATGCTCGCTCACGGTAGGTGGCCTTTTTCCACGCCTTTCCGCAATGCCAGCAATTCGGGTTGTAGTACAAGTCTTCATTCCAGACCCAACCCACCTCACAGTGGGCACACACAGTACAATGCTTCCCCATGACTGCTGCAGCCTGATGCCAGTCCCACCAGCACTTCAGCAATGCGAGGCCTGAAGATCCCCTCAACCGTAGTGAGGCCGAACTTTATGTGTCCTCAGCCGGAGCGAGGCCGAAACTTGCCCCTCCCTCTGCCGAAGCGAGGCCGAAAACACACCCTCTGCCGATGCGAGGCCAAAAAGTTCCCTCAGCACTTGGCGAGGCCGTACTCAGGCAGCTATGTTGCTGGCAGCCGACTACCAAGCAAACACAGTGGTTTCGGTTTGAGTCCTGTTGGAGCCCACCCTTAGGTACAGTCTCCAGGCAACAGCACTCCCTACCTGAGCACCCCACCGGGGTTGAGCCGAAACTTGAGCCAGGTGAATTTTACGTCTGCACGCTGCGAGGCGTAGCCACCCGAAGGGGCTGTGGGTTCAAGTGAAACAAAAGCTTACTAAAACTGTGGGGTGAAACTGCCGGTAAGTTCCCCCTCTCATTCCTTGTCCTCGGTTTTGACGTACCGCTACCCTCAACCGAAGTGAGGCCGGAATGTCGTTTTGACCAAGTCGTTGCCATTGGCTTGAAGACTTTGGCCAAGGCAAATTGCCTGTATGCTTGCACATTCTCTGTGTTGTCTATTCGGGAGGTGATCCATGCCCTCGTTCGTGGAGGCCGCTATCCCTCAACCGAATGGAGGTCAATTCCTGTAGACCCAGATGCTCGTTCTACGAGTCTCATTGCATGTCCTGAGTGCTTCCATCCACACCCCTCAACCGTAGTGAGGCCGGACATGTCTTCAAACCAGGTCATGGCCCGAGGCTTCATGGACTCTGGTTACGGTGGCTGCCTCTTGCATGCACAGGGCATACTTCCTGTGGCTTTTGCCGGGAGGTGATCCATGCCCTCCGATTCTCAGAGGCCGCTATCCCTCTACCAGCGGGGTGGTCAATCCCCATAGACCGTTCCATATTGATTGAGGCCCAATTCTGCACTTTCTCGTCATCTCACCTTGACGGATCCATGCCCTCGATTCACACATCTCCAACACGAGCCAAGCAGGAGGAACAGGTGAAGTACCTGCCCAAACATACCCCTTTTTAGGCTGGAGGACGCTAAGCGACCGAAATCGCCGCTACGCACCGGTGACCCCACGCCACACACCTTCAACAGGTGGCCGGTACAGGCGCCTGACAGGGGGCCGGGCAAGGTGCCGACTACCAGGTCAAACCCACCCTGCCTGTGAGGATATTATGTACGAGGCCGCTATCCATTGTGAGACTTGACATTCTCCAATCCAGCCGTAGCCATTGTTCCAAAGACAGTCGGCTGGCTCTCTTGTTTGCCACCAAAACTCCATACTCTCACTTGGGAGTCGATTACCCTCAACCGAAGTGAGGCCCACTCTGCGACCACGGGTTAGCTGCATGCTTGGCCCTTGTGGGCATTTCTGAAAGCAGTGACAACGAATCCTCCACGGAGTACGTCCCGGCTAATCTAGGGTTCTCAGCAGCTCCGGTGTTCTCGCACTTACTAACCGTGCCTTGCTGTTCTCCCCAGAATCGCCCTGGCTTTCTCGCACTTACTTACCAGTCGACGTATTCCTCACCACAAAGTTCACTGCCATTGGGACTCGAGGCTTCTCCAGTGCAATGCTGGTACCTGCCCTTTGCTGGCCTCCATGCCTGGCCAGTGTCCCTCATCCATATTCTGGAGTTTGCTCTTTATAGCTCACATTCCCTCAGACCAAAGTCGAGGCCGAATGTTGCATTGTTTGATTGAGCACTGCTGGGCTGCGGTTGTACCTATCAATTGCTCCGACACACCGGCACCGCGGAGTCTATGCTTCAAGCTGCTTTACCGCTTTGCGCCCAGTAGCATCAGCCGTCCAAGCTGCATGCAGTGCTTCCAGAGTCTCCCAGACTCAATTCCGGCAGACCAATAAGTGCCCGGCCTGCCCATTCCATCATTCTTCCCTCAGCTGATGCGAGGCCGGAACATCATGCACCTTCTTCATCAGCGAGGCGTTTTCGCAACCCTTCTGTTGTTCCCTCAGCCTTGGCGAGGCCGAACCATCCATTCCCTTCACCTTGGAACCGTGTTCCTTCTCCTGCCCCTTGCTTGCTCTCCCCCGCATGGTGTTGACCCCCTCGCAATCGCACGCGGACGCCATGGAAAAGCCTGGCATGAGAGCCTAGCATGTGCATGTTATGCAAGACACTCCGCCATGCCCTGTACTATACTCTCAAGCCCGAAGGGCTTGTTTAACAGCCGAGGCGAGGCCGAACCTTTACTCCAGCATAGCGAGGCCGAAACTGCCCTTGCATAGCCTCACATGGCATCTCCGCTGGTTTCACGGGTTCTGAAAGCATTGTGCTGCGAGGGTATGTTGATCACCCTCATTCCGGCAAGCTAAGCCTGCATTCGGGTTTGCCCTCACATGGCCCTTAATGGCGAGGCTGTGCTCGCAATTCAATCCACTTCCACTTGCCTGGTTACTGGCCGGCGACGTTTCATCACCTCAAAGGAGCATCCATTCCTCATCATCTTCCGACAAGGCCAGCATCCTTCTCGACACATCAGGGCCATACACCATAATCACCAGCCTACCCAGGTACCTGATTTCACGTCCGCTGCCATCAATCATCAGGGATGGGTTTGTGGGATCGACATAGAAATCGATGTTCCAAAGCCTCGCATCCTCACAGCATCGGAAATCCCGGAGCTGCAGGTGGAGGTTAGCTGCATTCAGTCGGTGTACTTGATATGGGGCGTGGATCATGGGGGTCCTGGATCATGGGGTTTTTTTAGACAAAACCTGTTTGTCTCAAAAATGCGTTTTTATGCGTTTTTGGTCCATTTGGTGTTCCCCTCCAATCATGCTTCTCCCTTTTTTTTGCGTTGCCCCCAATCGTGGACTGTAGCGTTGGGAAGACAATTTTACACAGGCTAACACAGCAAAAGCCAAGCTGAGGTTGGTAACTTGCCTAGGTTCTCCGTAAAAACTTGTGTTGTGTGTCCATCTTATGCGGTACTTCACTTCTGCTGTTAATTGATAAAAGGTGAGGGACACTAACCAGTTCAGTCACGATGATAACAATTGTCAATTGTGGTCAAGTCGTTGCGCCCTCCTGAGAGCACAGTGTGGCTGTACATCGAGACGGGGGAGCTCCAGACCACGAGGCATGGTTGCGTGCTAGTTGCTGGTGTGTCTTTGATTCAACTCATCAATCAAGTAGCTGCACTGAGCTTGAATTGCTTCAAGGCTGCGAAGTCCTGTCCAAATAAATAACACCTGCCATGGCCTACTACCCTGCCCTTGACGCACATAAAGAGAATTTATTTTCGCTTGGTTCGCTTTGCCACGGTAGTGATAGATCGAAGGCTCGACTTCCATTGTCCATGAAGTAAATTCTAGCGCTACCAGAGTGCCAGCTCAAACTTTCCTTGCCATTCTTGCCAATTGCAGCTGGCCAAGCCCTGGCTGCGTGGCTCCAAAGACCTGCTGCCAAATCGAGTCGAAGGCCTGGGGGGTGCATTGCTGGGGTTTTGAAGGTGGTTCGGTCTGAAGCTTACCACGGACTAAGGCTTCATGGCTGTGAAGGGACTGTTGACATGTGGGCTGGCTGGCAGTGAGGGCAGGTGCATGCTGCTTGTTCCTTGCTGCATTTTCAATCAGGCCCTGTAGTCCCTGGCATCATCATATGTCAAACATTTGTCTATTTCACCTCTGTCAGCTGGCCATGGATGTGTCCACTCAGACGCCAACCGCAGCTCAAGTAGAGAAGCGTGAGCGGTATGTTGCCATCATGAAGGCCAAGCCTGGCTACAATGATTTTGTGCTGGCAAGGAACATAACATGCGGAGAGCAAGGGCCTTCACTGGCACCCACGCCCCGGGTCCATGGGATCTCCAAAAGGACTTGGGAAAAGGAAGCTGGCGCATGGAGACAATGCTGCAGGCCTTACATCGCACGTGGACTTAGCGGAGCACTTGGCGGAGCTTAGTTTGTGAAGCTGGACCATTTGTCATTTGTCTCTTCATATTAATTAAAACGCAATTACATGCGGGAATTCCTGCGTGGCATTTGCAGGCTAGGGTCAGCTTTGCTAGGCGCCACACGCATTGTGCTGGGTGCGCAGCCACAGTGCTTTTCAGTCAAAAGACCTGCTGCTTGCTCATGTAGCACGCTTAGTTAGCAATGCTTCAACTGCCGTGCAAGAGGTGAGCGACATGTGGCTCCACGGTTTTTGCTCCGGTGTTTTTCAATTGCGGTTGTGCATGTCCGGGCCAGTAGTGTTTTGAGCGAACTACTGTGATTCAGTCCTGAAGCATTTGCTGTGCCACTGTGCTGCCGCAGGCCTGCTAGGCAAGGAATGCAGGTGCCAGATTTGTTCCAGTCAACCCAGTTCAGTCTCGGGTCCATGATGATTGACGGTGACTGCTTGAACAACGCATTTTCCAGTGACAATGAACGGTTTATTCTTGCAGCTTAAGACTAGATTGATTGGCAGGGCACTGTGCTACACATGTCTCAATGTTGAACCTGATGAATGGTTGGTGGTCTAAGTAAGTATCAATGTGCCAGGTAGAACGGCGCAACACCGAGCAGGCAACAAGTTGGACTCCACAAAGGCGGGGGGCGGGGGGGGGGGGGGGATGCCTCAGAGTTGAAATTGTGTTGCTCACGCTTGCAAATTCCATGCCTTGGTGCAGCACGTCACTTCTTGCGCAATGCCTTGCTGGGCATGACTCGTGGATGAAATGCGTGTGCTTTTCATGTCATGTTGGCTCCAGTGACTATTATTGGAACTCTGCTTGTTTCAACAAACTGTCACAGCTGTCACGAGTCAATTGGAGATGGGAAGCATG